CTTGTGGATCATCCACACACTTTGCAAACATTTGACATGCAGACAAGACAGTGGTAGTCAATGTTCCCTTTGAGAAAAAAAACACCTTTTCAATGACTTTTTAAATTTACTTTATTTGAAACTCTGATCTGAAAATATTTTTAAAACAAGACTTGTTAGTAGTAAGAAGTACAAACCGAGTTCTTTTCATAACTTAATTTCTTAAATGTCCCAATCACTGGATCTCCCAAAAAATATTACTTTTTTTATTTTTGGTGCAAAATACAAGTCCTTCTTTATATAAAAATGAAAAGTGCAAGTCACAGTTCAATAATAACAGCCCTAAAGTTTACTTGTTGTTCTTCTCTGTCTGTCAGCTATCAACAAAATTGTTTTATACTTCGGACAGTGCATAACCATTTGTGGACCAGAGTTCCAACACACCTCTGTAATCGCATATAGTTACTTCTGTCTCTTGTATATATGTTTCTCCTTTATGAAACGCACTCTACTCTGTTGTCACCACTGCTTTAAGTTCAGTGGAAACGACTGACTGAGGAATCGAGATGGCGGTGTTGGAACAAGTTGGTACAGGTACTGGTACACTGAGATCATCTATATATCTCTTATACTTCCTAATGTGGTATCCTTCTTTTACAAAAATGAGGGTAAAAGACAATTTGTAATCGCTTTCAAAATTGTGATTGGCTTGTGTTATTTCTCACCTTCGCCATGAGCACAACTTAAGTGGGTTTCGAGTCTTTGTTTCCTCGACAACTTTCGGCCACAAATCGTGCATTTGTAGTACGATCGATTCTTGTCTATTATTTCTACATAGAGTGAGCTCACATCGTTATTTATATCACCGTCAGAACATGGGTCCAAAGTATCCCTCGTTCAGAAGCAGAGTACCGGTCGGAGAAGTCAGAATAAAGTTGAGCGCTTCTCTTGACACTGCAATCGGCAAGCCAGCGGATTCACTTTACTAGCCAATGACAAGTCCTAAAAGATCCACGTGATCATGCCCGTGATCGGAAACAAAGAAGACTCCATTTGGCGCTCATCTTTGAATGTACTTTTCATCGGTTGATCGCTCGTGTGTTAAGTTATTTCTTTTCTCAACTGTTTTGCTTAATATAACATTTCTAAAGATAGGTTTTATTGTGGTTTAATGGGAAAACGAGAACAGCGTGAGTGTTGTAAAAGAAAAGAAAGTCGTTGGCGCCGTGGAGTTAAAAGAAGGGACAACAGTTGACATATTGACTGGTACAAACAAGGGTCGAGTGGCCATTTATAAAGCTACGATTTTGAAAGTCTGTGGTGAGTAAAAATTGCGATATTCGTTACGTGATCAAAATCTTCTAAAAGAATAGATGTAGCGGGTTGAATTAAGCTTACATAACGTTCGGTGCAACTGAAACTAGAATAATTCTGAGAATCGAATCGGTCACTTGCATGCCGCAGTTTCTTAAGCTTATGCTTTACAATAAAATAAATCTATCAGTAAGGTTTCGAGATTACTTTAGTCACGTTTGGGAACATTCAAGATTCATAAAACAAACTGTTATTAAGCAAATCTTATTACATAAAGAAGCCTTCCTTGATAAAAACAAAATAATGTATTCAGCCCTTTTTTTAGTAAAATCTATGGGAGAGATGTACTAACTCCAATATAAAAGTCATTCAATATAACAGAGATTTCCCAATTTGAGAATCCAATGAATGCCCCTTTCCTTATAGCTATCTAAGGCCTGGTCTGAGCTTTTAATATGTATATTTATATATATTATTTTTTTCAAATTTAGATGTTATGGAATCCAGATGCAAAATGGTCAAGCTTCTTGTAGACAACCTCATTCAGGGCCAACTCATTGTGAGCCCAGGGAAAAAAAGACAAACAGCAGCTAAGTTTGCAGTTTAGGATAACTTCATTCTAATTTATTGTAACAGTTACAACAAGATTTAAATTAAAAAGTCAATTCTATTTAACTGTAATTAACCCCTTCACGCCCAAGAGTGCTTGGTTT